ATGAGCCTCCATATTCATCAGACATAAACGCACACATGAGGCAAGGCTCTTCTATCGGTGACAGACCGGGGAATCTTCTAAGGTGCTGAGCAGCACGAAAGTCGATGAGTAACATTTCTGCAGCAGAAAATGTTCCGAATGTAGAAGTTATACATACATAATATACAGTTATACAAAAGGCAGGACTTACCGCCCGCAAAAGAACTGTCCTTTCGATACATTCCATTGTAACACAACGAGAAGAACTATTGTTGTCTTTACCTTCCTTAGGTGGGATGCAACCCGATTAATCAGGAACTCACATTGAACAATATCATTTTTTGCATTTTCTTCCCACATAAATTCAAATCAATATCGTAGACTGGGCCTCTGCCACCCTCATTGTGGAACAAAGGAGAGCTAAGATCACACACTGAAGGTTCTCAATATCCACAGCGGAATAAGCTTTCCTTTTTTATTTGCTAGTCGAAGCTGTCTCTCTCGGCTTACGTGAGCAACATTTTTACATTTTTTTGCTTGTGTTCTTTATTTAAAAATAACGATTGCTTCTCAGGGATTCTGAAACAGTGATAACCGTTCTGTCCAGTACTCTGCAGTCGATTAGCCAAAAAAGCAATTAGAGGACTGGAAAACGAGAACGGTTTCACTTTAGTTCTCCTGCTTCGATTTTTCCTGGGGATCATGATCTCTACCTTTCTGATACTGCTTGGAAACAAAACGAGGAACGGATCTTCTGCCCATGCGAAGGCCCTTCCGGTACCAGTCTTATGGAATACTTTTCAGAAGCAATGGTGGTCAGTGTAGGTAGGATTGGTATGACCTTGTCAAGAGTGTTTTCTTGTACATGCAAGTGAGCATGGGATGGGAAAACCCGAATATGGGTATCAGTCGGATGCTGGTCTTGTTAGCCTTGGGAGGCTACAATTACATGTCTTTGGTACGGAGGGGTACGGAGCAAAATCCTTCGTATTTCCAATTTCCACACGAATTCAAGTAATCATTCAGACAACAAGAGATGGAACTGGTGACTGCAGCAGTTCTAAAAACGGCCGAGTTGGTCCTCGAATTGGACAGGGTGGCAGCAACTGTTATAGGAGCTATCGGCTTAAAAAACTAATCGCACGCTAGCAACACCGTCAGCAGCCATCACATCTAGAGACTTTGCAGTAGCACTTTCCAACTACGACTGCTTTAAGAAAACGTGATTGAAGTTCTTCAATCGTCTCTTTTTCAACACAGCGCAGCCAATTATCATCGGGTCCCGTTGTTGCAATTGACATCTATGGTGCACCATATCCGATTAGTTGGTGTCAACGGTTTGTCTTCAATTAATGCTTTTAGCTTCTTTGATATTGTCAGACCACAGCTTTTGTTCTACGTTAGGCATATTTGATACAGCAAAATGGCTTGCCGGGGATCCTCCCTCGTAGTGAGAAGTCAAAATATTCCTTACTACAAAAATCCCCTATTAAGATCCCTTCTCAAACGGCCAGAGTGATTTGAGAAATACATATATGAAGGGCAGTGTCTTTCGGCGCAACTTGAAAGGTTTGCTCTCTATAACTGACAAGCACCTGTAATTGGTTAAGGCAGAAACCTTGGCTGAGAAAGCAAGGCAGAAAGGTTTGTTCCATCTTTACACGCACTCAGAATACAGTATACCGGGTCAACTCATTTCCAGGCTTTATAGTTGCAAAGCTTGAATCCCAGCATAAGCTTCTGCATCTCTTTATAGTATCTGACTGCTTCTTATAGTTTTTCATAACCTTTTGTGAACTTCGAAGCTTTTTCACAGTATTCCTCTATGAATCCCTTCTACTCTTCCCTCCCCTCCCTTCTCCCTGAGTTGGTAGTTTTCTCCATTTTTCCTTCCTTTGTCGCGCTTTTTTCTGTATATTATGACTACCCTCTAAACTTTGCGATTGTATTGAACCTGCCTATTTTTTTTTCTTGTCAACTTTTACATCTGCTACTGCCCTCGTGAATCTTCCCTCTTCTTTCAGACCCCTAACTCCATAGCTGCCTATAGTTATCTCGGGCATCCC